ATGATTGAATCAGGGAGTGGTGGAAAGTCACATTATACCTCTCCATGATTAGCTGGTAATGACGACGATGCGGCTCCGGCTGGGTCCCATAGGAAAGTAACTTGCATACCTGTTTAGTTGCAACGAGGCAACGGTACCAGATGTACTGAAGACATGATTGAACTACATTTTATCTCCTCCTGGGAGAGGGTGGAACAAATAATGCCAGAGTGTGTCTGATACACATCACAGTCTGCGGAGTGTGTTCATTATTGTTGACGTAACAGAACTGCGCTGTGAGGTACCTTCTGCGTTGGACCTACAGTTGAGCCACGATTCTTCTTACAAATTCCATACAACAGTGAAAGGATTTGTTGGAGCATCATCAAACAGTGCATTCACCTTCATCATACACTGGCTCCGTTGCCTACAGTAGTTCACATCTTGACGGGGCGCGCTGGGACGATACGGAAGGAGCGGCGGGAAACCATTGGAGTGCTCATGATGCTGGTTAGCGGAGACCGATGTGTCAGGAACGGGAACGCAACCGCACTACTGTACAGATCAGGAAGCGATGAAAGAGTTGTATCTGTTCAACCTTCCATGCCGTGTACAGGGACACAAGCGTAAAAATGGCTACATTTCGAATGTGAACTGGCGATGGCATTGTGTGGCGACGAACACAACTGCAACTGTTCAAATTTCAGCATTTCGAACACTATGCTTCCCATGATAACTCACCGAATGGCTCACATGACGGAGTTGGACATTACCAGGCTAGGATTATCATTTGCTTTATTTATGGATAGTCCTTGAGTTTTCAGATGAAGTGCTATATCTTTTACCTGTCGTTCCTTTAGAATGGCACAATGTCCATGGCTGCTTTCTTGTCTTCATAACAGACTGGTATAATCAGCATGATTCTGCTTTATTTGAGAAGAGATAAAACTTTCCTTTTGGAAAGGAAGCCCAGAAACGTCAACCCCCAATGGACTGTGCTTTATGACTCTCGTCCTAGCTGCATCGACATTAACCGTCGCAATAACTGCTGCATGTATGTTGTGCTGTGCGAACCGTACAAGATTTTACAGCTCACCCACGCCTTCCCAACAGGCTCCGATATCCCGTACCGTTAGCGTTACATTGAATATGAGCTACGCTAGCACAGTTATCCTTCGTTCTTTTGATGGCGGTGGGTAGCATGGAACTTGACGTGTTCTTGGGATCCTCGTGGAACACTTTCTGTTCCGGGATGCCATATTATTGGGTGCATCGAGGTTTCTTCTATGCTCACTGTTGTTTGGTAAGACTATTTTTTGTAACTATTTCACCGAAGAATAAGGCGAGAGTATTTTGGGTTGGTTTGGACGCCTGGCTTCTCTTCACATAATAATACAGTCATGTACTTCCACTAACCCTACAAGTGCACATGCATGACTCATGAGCTGCTGAAGACAGTGACGGTACTGATCATGTACATGCCATGCACCGTTCATCATGTTCATTCATGCTGACAAAAAAAGTACACTGCACTACAGTCAGTACAGACGGTGTGGGGTGCCCGCAGTGTAGCCTGGGTGCACAGGGTGCACTTGCCCCGTCTCACTCGCGGCTCGGATCTTTGTGCAAGTCATCTAATAGATGACTTGCACAAAGATCCGAGGAGAGGGTGAGACCAACCACGGAAGAAGAGAAAAAAGAAAATGAAGAGCACGTACACAAAGTGGGAAGGGATTAGCAACTTACAAAGCAATAGGATGCTCAGCGAGCTATGCAGTGGATGTGGTGACTGTGACTTTGTTTACTGGGAGATACTGAAGTGCTGTCTGACGAGGGTACGGAATTTGGGCATATCTGGAGCTTGTCTAACACTGGGAGGCAGTTGGAGCCACGTGGAGTAGGAGGAAAAGAAAGGGGAATTTACGAATAGGGTAGACCTAGCTAGGGGGAGACGAACGCAGCTTCGGGTGGTGCCACCTGAATTGAACCAATTAAGGGACTGTAAATGAGCAGGGTGCTGGTCAAGGAAAATTGAATGTGCCAGGGTGCACTTGGAAGCATCAAGGTAATGTTGCAGAGTGGTAGTGGATGCAGCAGCATACAAGTCTAGATTTGAGATATAACGATCAGTACGAAATATGATTCGCAGTATACGGCGATGGAGAATTTCTAATTTACCTATGTGGGTTTTGTTAATGGTGGACCAGGCAGGGAAGCCGTACGTGAAGAGGGGAAGAATGTATGATTTATATAAATTAATCTGGCAATTTTTGGGCAAATGGGACAAGTGACTTGACATTATGCCGACAGATCGGCATACTTTGGACGACACATGATCAGCATGGTGAGACCAGGAGAGGGCGGAATCTATGACAATGCCAAGGTGTTTATGGTGGGGCGCTACAGAGATAGGGTGACCGGGATCATCGGGAAAGTGGAAGATGGGCACTGGATCTGTGGGAGGGGGAAAAAGGAGGAGCTCGGTTTTGGTCACATTTGGCTTAAGGTACCAAGTGCTCATCCAGTGAACAATGTCGTTGATACAGGTCTGAACTTTGGGGTACAGGGTGGCGTGAGATGGGGGGGGGGGGGGGGGAAGCAAGGACAGTGGTATCATCTGCAAACAAAGAAAAGGGGGGGGGGAAGCAAGGACAGTGGTATCATCTGCAAACAAAGAAATATTGGGAATTGAATAGGGGAGGTCATTAACGTATGTGAGGAAGAGCAGGGGACCTAAAATGGAGCCCTGGGGCACTTCGGATGTCACAGACTCGGGGTCAGATAAGGTTCCATTTACTGTGACGCACTGATTTCGGTCCAAGAGGTAGCTAGTTATCCAGGCGAGTAGGGAGCCGGAGACACCATGGGCACGAAGTTTGGCGATCAGGCCCTTGTGCCACACGGTGTCGAAGGCCTTGGAGAGGTCGAAGAAACAGATGCAGGAGACCTGCCGCTGGTCTTTTAGGGAGCAGAGGTCTTGGATTATGCGGGACAATTGCAGGGATGTGTTGTCCTTACGTCGGAAGCCAGATTGTGCAGGGTGAAGAAGAGGGGAGATATGGTCGTACAAGCGGTCGTACACTATTCTCTCTAGCAGTTTGGAGACGCAGGACAGGAGGGAGATTGGTCGGTAATTAGACGGGTTGTTCTTGTCGCCTTTATTTTTGTACACTTGAATGACAGTGGCTGACTTCCATCGTGACGGGAATGTGCCGGAGGAGAGGGAAAGGTTAAAAAGAATGGAGAGGGGGCAGGCAATTGAGTAGCTCAGTTTCCTGAGGATCTCATTGGTGATCCTATCAGCTCCGGGGGATTTGTTCAGAGGCAGTCTTGCAATATACTTGTGAACAGTCGATGACGTGATGATCAGGGAGTGCAATGTAGTTGCTGGTGGAGGTAGGGAGGAAATAGTGGGAATAGGAGCATCGGGGTCAACCTGTAAGCCAGCACTGACGAAGTGGCGGTTCAATAAGTTACCAATGGATGCCGGAGAGGTGCTTGTTCGACCATTGGGGCCCACCATCTTCGAAGGTATGCTTATATTTTTTCAACACCCCTCTACCCCGTGCTTATATTGGAGACCGCGCTTATATTGGAGACCGTGCTTATATTTTTTCAACCATTACATCCATACAGAGCAAGAAGAAATACATGCTGGATATCATGCATGCAGCATTGATTTCCACCAAGACCGTGCTAATAATAGAGACTGTGCTTATAATGTTTCGAAAGGTGCTCACAGTGTGCTAGTATTAGAGACTGTGCTAGTAATGGAGACCTGTGCTTATAATAGAGAATATACGGTATGTACTAGATGATCATACTCATGTAGCATACTATTATTTGTAGCCTGTAGCCAGTATAGGGTAGTACTCATGGTACTTGTACTTACATGTACATGTACGTAGGGTGCTGAGTAATCATCGCACTATACTTAGACCCAGCAGTTATCATGGTTATACTAATAAGTAAAGTACGATGTGAATGGCCTACTCTGCTACTGGCATGCTAAGGCGAAGTCACGACTCTGCCCGACGTCATCACAGCCGGCGGCAATAATATGCTGCAAAGGAGTGCTGGCGTGTGGCACCCAGGGAGATATCATCGGCAAACTGGATGGTGGTGTTTGCGTACCCGGTAGGTGTTCAAAGACTTCGCACACCTACCGGGTACGCAAACACCAGTCAAGTGAATCTAGGCCCCCGTGTAATATGCCGGCAGTTTTTGAGCATTTTCGGTACAATCCGCGAACCCAGCACTTTGGGCTCGTGATGCAGCATTTTGGGGGGAAACGGAGCACTTGGCCGTTGTGTATCAAAATTCAGCCCTCACCAACGCTGTACAAAGCGTCACTGGCCCGTTTCTCAACGGTCGCGCAAATCGACCAATCAGCGTACAGCTAATGTACCAAAATTCTCAAACTTTACCGTAATTCCTTGGTTCATACGGTGTAGTTTCCAAAGATTTTTTATGGGCCAACGTCTTCTTTCGATAGATACCAACAGATCGTCCGCTTCGAATTTTTCGATTTGATTGCCGTTTGGCCGAAAATTACCTCCGAAACCGGCCTCCACTCGTTTCACTTCAAGGCTTTCCAGGTGGACGGCATCGCAATTCGGAAGCGGAGAAAGGATAGCCAGTGAAAAAAGAAAAACAACGACGTATTGGTTGTCGAAATCGACCAAGAAATGAATTCAATAGACCTGTTTCCGTGCTGCGCCCTCGCGGCCCGCGCGAGTGCGAAAGGGATTCTTTCTCGACAAAACAAACAACTACTAGTACGCGCAGTACACTGACATCACTGCACTGGCTGTA